CGCCATATCGTATTCTATCGCCGAAAGCTCTTGCCTTATTTCAGAACCGCCCCAAAAAGTCAAACTTCTCCGCCTACATAAACTAATGAGCTACACACCGACCAGCTACAGCATCTACAAGATCAAGAACATCACCTCCAATTCAGCTGACCAGGAACGTACAAATCAGTAACATGTTGACAACTATTTCTCACCTCCACTGCGATATCAGCTGAGCTGGGACACCGCGCTGTCCGCATTGTATCGCTATTATTGTTCAAGTCCGACTGCTGAAGAAAGAACAAGCTTCAATCTGACTTTAGTTGAGGACGAGAAAACATATGACAATGTGGTGTGCAGTATGAAAATTCAATCAAAGAACTGACACTGATTGCACTGCAGCACGACAATGACCTGGTGAGTGGAGAGCTCGTGGCCTGCAAGAGAGAAGGATTGGAAAAAAGAATAACCAAGATAAAGCCATATTAAGAATGCAAGGGATACAAAAGGCCACGTCTTTGACAACACAAACGCTTCTTCGATCAAGTCTGACCATAAAACTATCAAATATATAGAAAAAATTTAGCGATAGATGATGAACTTAGCGTAGCCGTGAATCTTTGACCTTATTTGTTTTTCAAAATAGTCTGCACTAAGGTGAAATCAAACGATTAGTACCGAGACGGTTGAAAAGAGGGTCCTTCGTCAGGAATAAACCGGAGATTAGTGGTACAGAGAAGTTAGTAATAGAAGATCATATTAGTAAAGGCTTCACAAAGATGCATACAGACGTTATTTCCATCAGAATAGCAAGGTATCAACAGTGAGAGGAAAAACGCCAAAGATGCAAAATCTGATTTTGAATTCGATGCTACCGCGCAGCGCAAGATCGTGCAGGGACCAACTTCATAGATAGCCTGTCTCAACATGTAATAAATACATGTATATAATTCACGCTTGAAAAAAATTGCTTGACGGTTCTCGATGACAAGCACTGAAGAGCAGCGCATTCTTGGGATGGACTACTAATACGATCTCCAAGGGGTTTGTACCAAAACTTAGACTAAACGAGTCTACAGTCTGCGTCTTTTGGAGTTCTTTAAAATGACAGAAGATTTTCACAGAGCGTGTGCTGCTTCTGAAGTGTATGGCTTTGGCCTTTGAACCATCCTCATAAGTCAACCAACACGAGGCTTCCGCCATAGATGCGTAGCGCAAAAAGGGTATCTCATGACTGAGAAACACTATAGGCAGATCAGTGCATGTCGCAACCGTCGCAACGTTTCACAGTCTGTAAGGCAGGCACCTCGATACTCTTCTTAATACGCGCAATGTTCATATGTTGTCTGTGTGTTTTCCAAAGAACTTTTCTTATTAATCGGGAAAGCCACAGCCTTGGCCACATAGGTATATGTTCGAGGCCAAGAAGAGAGTTAGGGGTAAGTGAGGGAACGGCCATAGGTTGCCAGCAAGTGTTGCCGAGGTTGCCGGCGTTGTAATACCTCTCCGCGTTATGTGTTCTCTAAGCGGCCCCGCCCCCAGCAACCGCTGCCGGCAACCTATGGCCGTTCCCAAAGAAACAAAAGTTTGAAGGTCAAGAAGTCGAGTCAGCTTTAAAGTTGCAACTGATTGAAACAAATATTGCTGTACCTGCTTTCCAGTAGCGAATTCTATAGCTGCGACGAACGGTCCGGCGCCAAGTGCAAGATCATCACCACGTCTGTAGTATCGTGCCTTATTGATTGCGACCAGTTGTGCACCTAAAAAAAGGAAAATCATATTGGCCGATGCCACAAGGCACAATCTTGGAAACGTGCAGCCGTCTGTACCGCCGCGATAGCAGGGGCTAGCGCAGCCGATTTCCTGCTTTCAATTCATAAACACGCAAAATGTACTCCCAGCAAGACTCCGGGTAGGGCCTATGTGTCGCCGAAAGTTGGAGGTCCCGCCGGACATTTGCTACAAATGCACATTCCAACACGCACAGGCTGATTATCTGCTGCATTGTCCACGGGACCCTCCCACTTTCTGCGACATATAGTCCTCTACCCCAAGACTCCACGTCCTTTCTTGTCTAATTTGCACTTCGCTCATTCAGGACTCATCCTGCCTGTTCACCGCCTCATCTAATAGCACTTTGTTGGATCAGGAACAACTATTTCCATTGCACTTTACTAAAGATTTGGACATTTTCCTAAGAACTCATTTTTTTACTGCCCT